GCACAGCTAAGGAAAGCGGGGAAAAATGGCGGACTGCCTTGTTTGGTGACCCCCGTGAAATGGTTGTTCGACCCCAAATGGGGTCATGACCCACAGGTTGAGAACCGCTGTTCTAGTGTATTATAGATTAAAAAATAACCAGAACACTGAAGACTATTACAATTTTCTTTGTTGAATGATTCTGTGAAGCAGGCTTATTATTTATACTCCCAATCTTTTTTATGGTTAGCTTTAAAACTTCAATAAAGTTAGTGAAATCAAACGTCAGAACATAAAGCCCCTTGGAGATCAGATCCTCAGTCTAACCATATCAGTTCTGTATTGATTTGAAAAGGGAAAGCTGACAGGTTACTAGATTTGGAATCAAAATCCAGATTAAACCTTGCATATTTTTAATATCTTTGTATTGAAATATTGATGCCAAAATTCCTGAATCAACTTCAGTGCATTTATTTTCTGCATCAAATATTGGTGAGGAAACAGAAGACCAGAGCAAAACTGAAGTGATATTGCATGGAGTTTGGCTTAAATGAATTTAATGACCAAATATTGATCAATAGAAGACTGAATGGAGGTCAGAACAGGGTCCTTATATCGTTTTCTGTATAAAACAAGTGTAGACTTCGTTCATTCAGCAGTAATATGTATCCACACAGTTGTATGCCAACAAATTGATAATCTGGGTATACTGATTGTAGATGTAGTTCAAAGGTATTTATTTAGTGGTCCACCTTGAGTTTTGTAAACAGAAGGTGGATGTAAGGGCGATCTGGCTGCGATATCTGTCACCCCATTGTTTGCCAGGGTTGATTTGGCTGATCTGGCTGGCTAGGCGGGTTTCCCCTTCCTCACCGCTTCATGTGCGTCCCTCCCGAAGCTGCGCGCTCAGTGAAAGAGGACGACCATCCCAGATAGAAGGAGTGTACCGATCTTCGGTCAAGGGTAAACAGAACTTGGTATCACCTGCCCCTCAGTTAAAGAGGTCAAAAGTGTACCCACAGCTGTATATGGCCTACTAGCAGTACTGTGGACTTCTTGTGAGACCCTTAGTTTGCAAATGTTCACAGCATCCACTTCCCCCCATAAATTCCTGAAATCCCTCCCAAAAGAGATCCTAATCCTCAATATGCCATATGAAGCATAATGTGGCTCTTTAGCTGATGAAAGTTGCTTATTCTCTATTCTGTACTAGTCCTCTGTTTCTAAGTCTTTAGGATTTACCACAAATGTCTAAGCCTATTTAGTGTATTTCTCACTAGTTCATTGAAACTAGTAAATGTTATGGTCCTTTTCAGAAATTGAAGAGTATCATATTTTTTTTCATTATAATGTTGAATCTAAATCAATTGTTATGTGCACATGATATGAAAAATGAGGTGTTGTTATCAGTGGAGGAAGGATTATTATGGATAAGTTATTTTGATTTATCGGTTAGTAATGTAATAAGCTTGGCCTGCATATTTTACTACTAAAATTGGTAAAAACCTTGTCAATTTAAAAAGTATTTTCAACACTTCCCAATCCATAGCATTGACAGTCTACATTATGAAGAATAATCTTCTTTGCTGTGGTATAGTTGCTCGTAAATACATGGTAGTCATATTATTGTGATTAATTATTTCTAGGCTTGTTACAGCAAAAATAATACATATATATACGTATTATGTGGACAGTCATGGATTTTGAGGACTTAACGTAATTTAAATCCCCCACCCCATTCAGGATATAGATTGTATGTGGTCTGCCAGCATTATGCTTGTTACTGCTAAAAAATACCTTCAGTTAATATGAAAAATTACTCAAGTTATAGTTAACCACTTCATTGCTTATCGGTGCATTATCAACTCATCGCTTTTCATAAAATTGTGATTTTATCTTACGAAGATAATTTATACAATGGAACATGTATTTTTCACTAGTGTATACTTCAGCTTTGGTTGAATGAGATTGCTGAACTACTTTTAACTAGTGTGTAGCAAACATATGATACATTTTATATTTTGAATACCTAAATAATTTATTTTTCTCTGCCCTAGATAAATTGATGTAGTTGTTCGCTTCCATGATCCTTCATTTTGTTGAATATGTGCCTTTTTCTAATCATTCATTGTAGCTGTTGTCTTGAAACCATTTAGGATGAATATTTTTTCCCTTTATTTAGCATCAAAATGGAACTGTCAGCCAAAAAACTAGAATGCACTTGGCCACAGCTGCTTCAGAATCACTCAACACCTGACTGACATTTCACTAAGATTGAAAAGAATCTTTCACATGTATCAGTTAGACCTGCCAAAAAACTTGGCTTTGAAAAGTGCTCCAGCATCCCTAATAGCTATATGGAATGAATAGGTTTTGACAGCTGTGGTTTGCCCCATCATTGCAGCAGTGTGACACGAAAAACTGCACCTTCTGAACATTTGTCTGCCACACAGTTATGAAAGGTATAGTAATTGACCACCTTAGACTCAAGTGTAAAATTGCTTACATAGTTTTTTCCTGTGGTCCATTATTTCTATCTTGGAAGACACAAGTGTTCAAATAAAAATCTTGGATCCCTTACCTTTAATATCACAACAATAAGACAACATGTATCTGGCAGAAATAGATGCTAACCCAGTGTAATCTTTCCCATGTTAAAAGATCACTGATCTGGAGCACTGTTCTGCAGCTATTCCATATACAGGATCTTTATAGAAAGAATAGGCATCAATATTGATCCATTGTCAAGAATATTGGATGCTTTTCAGTATGATTATATCTTGATTGTATAAGACCTGCTTGCCTTTTCTTCTCTAATAACCACTCTCACTCTCACTTGGAGTTTTTAACAGCACTCTATCTGACCAAACTAACATACAAAACAGCTCATTTTTGTAGAAAAATAGTGTATTTTGTATTACATCAAGATTATTAGGAATTCACAGGCTTTGAAAATGATTTGGAAGAAATGTTCCACACAAAAATGCAGTCACAATACATCTCTATAGTTAAAATAGCCTGATCTTTACTTGGAATCTCCCCAAATAGAATCCCAAATGATTTTTAAGTAACATCTTTTTTTTCTTGCCTGTGAAAATTCTGAAAAAAGTTGGGCTTCTTTAATTAATTGTAGAGGTGAAATTTGCACAGTTATGTTTTGTTAAGCTGTATGATAAAATATTGTTCACTGTGATTTATTTTACTGTAGCCTTAGGCTTAGTTCCTCATTGACCTATTCTAAAGTAAACCCTGCTGAATTGGCAACAGGGAAGTTTGATTAGCAATTTAAAATAAATATATAAAATCAGAGAAGTATAGGACTGTGCTATTGCCTTTCTTCATTGGGAATTTACAGTTGCCATAAGGGGAGTTCTAGTTGTCTCTCCCCCATTAAATACCGTAAAGTAATGACTAAAATGATTTCACTTTCACCTCATTTCTATCACTGATGCTTTTACTGCTTAAAAAGAGTGGGAGGAATATGATCTTGAAATACTAGGATACTGTACTATAAAATAGTACTGTATAAATAGCCAAGATTTTACTAAACAAGACTGCACTGAGAAAGCAGATGTGTTAAATATGAATAAGTGCATAGCAAAAATATTAGTCTGTTCTTCAGTCAGGAGGCAAAATTAGTATTCTGTATATAGAGACATAAAATGTGGTTTCCTGTTGTGCAACTGATCATTTTATATATATTTTCATATAATGATGAAAGTTAATTCTCTACTGACTGATAATTAACTTCTAATCTAAATCAGATAAAGTTTTAAGAAGATTCTTTTTAAAAGCTGTTGTGAGTTTTAGTCTTTTAAATTATCCTGAAGCCCTAAAGCTTTCTATACTGATTTTAATCACATGCACTAACACCCACTGGTGTTGATAAGGTCAAAGCTGATTAATTGTATGCTACCTGAATAATAACATATTCTTCATATGCGTCATATGCTTTTATTGAAGTATTTCTAAGCCAGATTCCAAGAAAAGCTTGAGAATGTTTTACATTTTAACTTTGCTCTTGCCTAAACTGTGTACATTTGTTTTCCACTTCACATTTTTGTTAGTCTAAAATAAGTGAGGACCAATTTGGTACCTATAATTAAAAAAAAAAACCTTTTGTACATAAGGAAGAAACATACCTGATCTATAATATCTGCCATATATTTCTGTTATATAAGCAAGATGAAAAAAATAATCTTAAATATAGAGTATAAGCCATTTTGAAACTAATGCTAGCTATCCTGCCTGGGATTATTTTTTATTGTTGTTGAGAGACATAATACCTTTATACCATTTTTGTGATTACAAGATTCTCTGATTACCTGTGACTCACTTTGAAACATAGTTATATCACATAGTGTGAAATTGGAATATCTGTTCTATATGTGTTCTAATGGATGTAACGGTCATTAAGTATATGAGTCTTCTGACGTTGTAATCAGATGTGATTCAGTCTGTTAAATATCCATGAAGCAACATCTGTTTTATAGAGTGACCTTCTGCTAGAGAATAGTTAGCATCTATTAGCAGATCATAGTGCAGATCTGCCTGATTTGAAAGGCACTAAACTAGGATAATCTCCTGCTGTTTAGCAGCAAAACTGCAATAATTTATAGCAGTAAAATTAAGCTTGTATTTTTCTTTTAAAAGTCTCTTCATTACATAATTATAGGGATATATACAAAAACATTATAGTCTGTTGAAATTACCTGTTTAATTTCAAAATTGGCTTTTTTAAAAAAAAAATTCTAAGATGACACTAGGGGATATGTCATGTGATTTCCTGTATAGATATTGATAAGAGTAATTAAAAATTAAAATAAAGCCAAAAGTAGTTGTACCATCTGCTGTATATTAATTAGATCTTTGCCTATTAAAGATAAAGTTTTAAAGAATGTAATTGAAACCAACTAATAGCATATATGCTAATATTTTAGAAAATGGGCTATTAGTTTATGCTTTAGCTCTAGCAAAGATAAAGATGATCTATAACAAACTTTAATTTTCTTTCTTCTCAGAGCAACCTCCAAATAACCAAGGCCAGTCGACCCTGCAACCTTTGCCACCTTCTCACAAGCAGCATTCAGCACAGAATCACCCATCTATCACCTCCCTTAACAGAAATTCACTGACAAATAGGAGGAACCAGAGTCCGGCCCCGCCGGCTGCTTTGCCCGCCGAGCTGCAAACCACACCCGAGTCGGTCCAGCTGCAGGACAGCTGGGTCCTTGGCAGTAATGTGCCACTGGAAAGCAGGTAATCCTTTAGGACCTTTAAGACTATAGTTATGCTCAGCATACTAGAAATCTGGAATTTGTGCTTCCCTTGTTCTGTTAGCACAGCTGGAGTTTTAATTTACCATTGCCACACATTTGATGCTACCACATTGTCCCAAGCTGACATTTGAATTTAATTCTTCTCATATATATATATATATAGGGTTAACCCATAACATTAGGTCAGCATGTAGTGTATTCAGTTTGGGGTTAGCTTACTGTATGAACCAACACTTTGTGATAGCTTTTAGGGCTGTGAAGGAATACAGACCTGTACTTGGGAATGATGAAGGAAGGAGGCTATTAAGGGGAGGAGCATTAAAAAAATATTATTCAATCCAGAGAAAGAGGAAAGAATAAGATAGGGCAGAGATAAAACCTGACCAATTTTCAAAATTCTGTTATTCTACCATACAACAATAAAGAGTGTTCCTGCAATCCCTGTTGTGCCTGTTTCTTGATCTTACCTATCTCAAAGATTTAGCACAGTGGTTCTCAACCTGTGGGTCAGGACCCCATTTGGGGTCGAACGACCATTTCACGCGGTTGCCAAACAACGCAGTCCGCCATTTTTTCCCCTTTTCCTTAGCTGTGCTACTCCCTTTTATTCTATTGGCTTTTGAAAGCCAATAGAATAGACTTTCTTGAATAGAGTCTAATTCTATTGCTTTCAAAAGCCAATAGGAATTGTCCAGGCTGTCTCTGCCCTGCTGAGCCCGCCAAAAGTCCCATTCTGCAAACGGTGCTGCACCAGTTGAGTAGTCCTCGACTTACGACCGGTTGAGTAGTCCTCGACTTACGACTGGTTGGGGATCATGGCATTAAAAAGGTTGAGAACCACTGATTTAGCACAATGTAAATCAGGCCACTCTAAGGTCACTCACTGTATTATTATTATCTTGATGCATGTAATTTCTACTTATTATTTTACTGGGCTTGTATGCTGGTCTAACTGTCAGACAACTGTTAATTATCATCAAGAATGTTTCATCTTTGGTAAATAAGAATTAAATTAGTAAGATGATGGTGGTGCTATTAGAGAAGTTTGCATGTATTTATTTTATTTATTTACCAAATCTGGACAATGCCCATCTCCCTCATAGAGCAATTTTTAGCAACAGATACTTTCTGCTTTTTAAATTTTGCATATGGTTCTTATTATTTCTTGTCTTTTAACTTGTATTTGGTGGCATTCTTTTTGTCCGTTTTCCCTGACTGCCACTACAACAACAAAAAGTTGGTGGCACATTAAAAGCTAACAGTTTATTATCACATAAGCTTTGTCAAAGTCCACTTATAAGATGTATGGATTCTAGTCTTTATTAAGCAAATGTTATAAAACAGCTGTTAAACATGGGAAAGGGAAATAGAAGAAGAAAAACAGTAAAAAGAGAAGTGAGAGAATTACTTTACATAATGGCCCTAAACAAAGCATTGTATCATATGTAATTTGGGACACTACAATGGACGTACAAGAACCAGCTTATACAGAAAATCCATTGATTGCCTTATAAGAAGAAAGGTGAGACACCAATCATATTAATGAAATAAATAGATACTTCCATTCTCATCCGAAACATATCAAACAATCTAATGTTTACAATTAAGCCATACAAAACAAACATACCTATTTTGACAGTCCATCAAAGACCCTTTAAAGCCGTGGTGGCGAACCTATGGCCCCAGTCCTAGGCCTCTGCTGCCATGTGCAAAAAAAAAAAAAGGTTCAATCAATCAATTTCAACTTTTTGCGGAAAAAAAAAGATCTCGCAAAGTTAAAATTGTTTGATTGAACTTTATTTTCAATCCCACACAGCGGCAGAGAAAGTGGCGCTTCAGAGCTGGAAGTGTGAGGGTGGGGGAAGCGGCGAGAGCAGAGCGCTCCATGCAAGGAGTAGGGTAAGGCTTGTTACTTCCCTCCCCCTGCCAGACACCTGCCGAAGCCACACAGGGTAAGGTTGCCGCCCCATACCTGCCCAGATGCCCTCACCTCCCCCAGCATTTTTTTTACTAACCTGCCTTTCAGCTGCATTCCGTTTCTCTATTCGCTTCTCAGCCTTCACCACGTGTTTGTGGGACAAAGAAAAAGTTCTATGAGACTTTCTAACTTCTTGTAAGATCTAGGCGCTACAGAACGCGAGCCTCTGCTGCTGCCGCCGCCATGCCGGCCAAAAGGAAACTGGTGCCGCCGGCCTTCAACATCACTCTCACCATCTCCAAGGGACCCAGCCCCACCGACGATTGGAATGGGGCTGCTGGAGTGGGCGCTGGTTATGGGTCTGAGGGGAATGGGCGAAGGGCAAGGTATTTGTGGGGGGCGGCTGGGGTGAAGGAGAAAAAAGGAGAATTTGCTCCTGGAAGGTTATTTCAGGTTGTGAGAGGTTGTGTGGAGCTGAGGCGATGAAAGGTCGGGAGCTGCTGGGAGGGAGGATGCGGTCGACCTTTGGAGGAGCATCCCGATCCACGAATGGGGATGGTGGTACTGCTTCGAGGTGAAGTCCCGAGAGGTAGGTAAAGCTGGAGGTGGTGGAGCAGCTCGGAGGAACCGGGAGTGCCGATGCTGGTAGTTGAGAGAAACTTCATTGGCCTTTAGGGTCCAGGAAATGGTAGAGGAAGGATGGGGGCACTGGGATGTGCTCCATGGGAAAAAGAAATGAGGTCCTGCCAGGCAGGTTGTTCTGCTCTGAGACGGTCCAGAATGCTAATCAAGGAGAATGTTTCTGGCTCAGAGTTAAAATGAAGGGTCCTTGGGAGGTGTCTCTGAGGATGGTGGTTTTCTTGCAGACGTTTCAGGACCCAAAGTGAGATAATAAGTGAACTAATGATGTTACCTAGTTTGGTTCATGAGACATCTACAAGAAAGCCACCAAGCTCAGAGAGCAGGAAGGACTCCACAGTAGCTCTCCTTCTCCTCTTCTCCTGCTTAATTCCACAAACCCCCTCTCTTCTGGCATTGCTGATGTTACCTAGTTTGGGTCATGAGACTTCTGCAAAAAATGCTGAATGGAAATGGCATCCCTGCCCTGACCCCTCCCTCACCTTACCCCGTAGGATCAGCCTCCTGCCCACCATCCCACCCGCAAAAGCCCTCCTGGATCTCCCCCAACCATGCCCAGCCCCTACACGTGTCCCCACGAGCAACATCGAAGTGGCCATGCCCACCCTGGCCATGCCCACCCAGTCTGTCATGACTACTGCAACCAAGCCTACCCAGTGGGCCACGCCCACCTGGCACCCAACGATAAGTGGGGTTTGGGTTGCAGTTTGGGCACTCGGTCTCTAAAAGGTTCACCATCACTGCTCTAAAGCACTTATCCATGCTTTTCTCAAGCTATGAACCTATCCAATTAAGAAAAGATAACCAATCCAGGAATAATTACTTAGAAAACAAACTGAAAAGAAAACAATAAAACACTATTTATTACTATAGAGCAGCTAATTAAAATCACTGAACTCTATCAGCAGTGTTCTATAGCTGCAGAACATATAATTTATGATGTTTTCTAAAATACTGAAACCCCTAAACCTTTTGATTTTTTTTTATTAACATTGTTAATTCTATCTAGTGCTATCACAACAGAATTGGTTCCGCCTTAGTTAATGACATTTTATTAATTAAATAAACTTTTACAGTTGCCTATCTACCAAAATGAACTTAAAGTGGTAAACATAATGTTAGGACAAAAGCTACAAAACTGTTTCTCATTTTTTTTACTTCATTTGCGGAAGCTTAGCTCCTAAGTAGCTTCCTGCTGTCAGTATCCTTCAAAGACTTTTTCCATCGGAGCTGAATAAATTGCCTAAGGCAGTGGTGTCAAACTTGCAACGTCACGTGATATGTCACGACATATCACAACTTTTTTTCTATTGCCGGGAATGGGGTGGGCATGGTTTCGCCATGACGCATCCAGCCCGCAAGCCAGCAGTTTGACACCCTTGGCCTAAGGTATTCAGTGGGTAAATGAATGAAAACATTCCACAAGCTGGTGTCTCTATAGGATCCCAAATATCACTGCTATACTGCCTACAGATTTGAATGCTCTGTTACTTGCCAACATATATAAGTCATAACTAGCAACCTAATGCAACAGTGCAAACACTAGTGTTTACCTACAAGGTAATAGATGACCAATGATAGCAAAAATTGAGAAAAGGTACTCAGAATCCAGCATGGTATCTATTCTGTGAATAAGGCTTGTAAACTATTTCTTCCCTCTTTCTCAAATATGGCCATATTATCTCTCGGATGTGAAGTGAATGCACATGTGATGTGAGTGTTCTTGAGAGAAAACACCAATAATATGGACCAGAATCCAAACTGCCAATAGTTGATACTGGAGGTGGTTGCACTGTGACTAAATCTTTGGGATATGATCTCCACTCAAAAGTCAATCTTTCAGCAAAACCTTTCTTGGAAATAAAGCTGTGTGAAGAAATTATTAGATCTGATAAGACGAAATCCTTGTCTACAGCTCCAAAGAGGAAAGAAAATAGATACAACAGAAATCCTACATCTCTACTTAACAGTAAAATCACTATCTTGTGATACTCTAGTACGCTGTGTACTAGCGGAAATTTGGATACACCTGGAGAAACACCTGCCAGAAAGACGGACTTGAGAGATGATATACAAGAGTTCACAAGATTGAAAGTTCACAAGAGTTCACAAAAAAGTATAAAATCCATCCTAAAACAAGCATAAATATTTCAGGATAAAGGGTACAATAAATAAATACCAGAATGGGCATACCCAATAATATATGTTTTTTTCTATTTGTTCAGTGAAAATGAAGGTCCTGAAGCTTGGGCCCTGGGAATACATTCTTCAGTCCTCTCTGATAAATTTAATTGTCAAGATCACCTGAAGCTTTTGGTTCACTAAGCTGCAATTTATACTAAGATCCCAGCTTCAGTTTTGACTATTGGCAGTTTTTATATTTAAAAGAATGGGAAAAATCTTTTTCTGAAGTTTTAAAAAAA